TTTATTTAATATGGTTCCACGTGCGGATAAATGGGAACGTTATTGTGTGAGTGTCAAGAATCAAGGGATATAGTATTTTTTTTTTTTTATTATTATTGTATTTCATCGACCCTGGCCTCTTATCCAGTGAGCAATAAGAAACAATAGAAAAATATTCCCCTTCTTCAACCATGTTTTACAGTGCTGGCCGAAGTAAGGAGGCGGGGCGCGGCCACATCCTCCACTGTTTTACATTAATGTAAATAATAGGCCTATACAATATACAGTCAGCCTCTTTCAGCCACACTCGCACTTGCTCAATCGTATTGATAATGAAATTTGACGTCATCTCATTATTACCCAATTATAGGACTTCATACGCTTGATCTTCACCAAACATAATTCTAAGTTTGGTGTACTTCGAGGGTAGCACGCTTAGCAAAAAACATATTTCTAAAATCCTCTATCGGTCAGTATAATAATCACATTGTCATGCATTAAATTATTAATAAACATACTGGGTCCAAGAAATATTACTGAATGTTTTGAAATGTTTCATTTGGATTCATGTACTTTCACTAGTATCATTTACCACCAACATGGCCTGGATTTTGAAGGGTGTTCTGATTTTAATCTTCTGTTATCGATAATTATTATCCGATGAGTAAGCTGTCCGCTTGGTTTCAACAACCAGGTATGACTCTTAGTTCGCTTATGAATATTACTGGTGTCAGTTACTCAAATATAGCCTGAATGACGTTGGAAAATTACCATCCTGTGGCATCATCTTTGAATCAACAGACTCGGTTCAAAAGACTGATGTTACCCATTTTGGTTATAAAAGTTGTCCATTTTTTGGCACCTGGATGGTCACGCTATTTGTCGTCGGTTTGTGTCTATATTTTGATATTATATATGGTGCTGACTTGTGTACATTGTAAGTTTTGATTTGGCATATCTATATTTATAGAAATTTTTAATGATATTTTCTTCATGATTCTTTAGACAACTATATAGCTATATTATAGTTGTCTTAGATGCAGTGATGGCGCCAGGACCTGCCCGACGGAGGTGCTATAGGCCCCGACGGGGGGGGAGGCTAGTGGAGCGAATCGAGTCTCACTTGGCTGGGGCCAGGGGGCCGCCTAGGGCCCCGGTGGAAGCCACGGATATTTGATGAATTATAGCGAATTTTTATTACTTATTTGATAGGCATTGAGTTACTATAATATGACTTCATGTAGGCTATGCTTTCTAATGTTGAAATCAGCTTCCAAAACCAAAACATTTCGAATAAAACAAGAAACAAAGAGTATGAAATGTAACCATCTAATTTGTTTTCAAATCCCCATTCTTGAAAGTGAAATTCTATATTTTGGAAATTTTGCATGGAATCTGTCAACCACGCTGTCATGGTCGAGGTTACTTCACCTATCACGATGTATTCCAACCATCATGAGGCTATCTAAATGAGCATTTGTCATAACATAACGCAAATTATTTTTAATTAGTCTCATTTAATTATTATTATTATTATTATTATTATTATTATTATTGTTATTGTTATTGTTGTGGTTGTTGTTGTGATGAAAAGTTAACACAAAAAATATGGTGGCTAAATGAATATTACATGTAAATATTTTTTTTTATTTGTTTTGTTTGTTCCCCGACAAAATTAATCGTCTTCCCCGACGGGGGGGGGAGGGGCTATGCTTCCCCCGACTGGGGTATAGCCAGCCCCCCCCCCCCTGGCACCACCACTGCTCATGACTGGGGGTATAGCCAGCCCCCCCCCCCCTGGCACCACCACTGCTCAGATGTTTGTGTTTGTATTATAGTTAGATGTGTTGCTTAGCCTTGTGTATGTGCGGAAGTCTGTTGATACAAACTTTCTTTAAACACAAAAAGACTGCAAATGCAACAAACCATTGACCACAATTACAGTCCAGTTGCCTAGATAAGGCCATGATATGACATTTTCTTTTGCAAACAAGCTCTGGTAATTCTACGTTACTATACTACTATATTATCTGATAATTATAACGCAAAACAAGGCCAATTTGTTTTTCTTAGGAGCGAGTAGGGCTGCATTCAAGTCAGATCCAAATCGAAATTTGTTTTCCAATTATTTTTTTTATAAAGTGTAAACAAATACACTACTACTACTACAAATACACTATCAAATTACATTGATAGATTTTATTTTTTCCCCTATTAAAATCACAATTAGAATGACATTTTAATTACAATTACAACTACGTTTCCATTTTGATATTTCAACAAAATCACATAATCAAATATAATATTTTCAATCAATCACACGTCAGACAGATATTCAGACATATTTAAATGTTTTATGGATTAGATACACAGTGATATTACTAATAGCTTTAGCAAAGGAATATAATTTATTTGTGGTAAGTCGTCGCTAATTTGAATAAATTATGAAAAAGTACTTAACATAATACTGTATTGAATAACCAAACCCTAACTGTTTACTGTTGGTACTGGTTGTAATAGCCGTCTTGAAGAAAGAAACTTGGAAACTTTAATAACTTACAGATTTAACAAGGACAGGGGTGGATCCAGGTCCATCCCCTCGTCGGAGAGAGCTTCCCCACACCCCCTTCCACCCCCAATATAGGTGAAGAAAACCACAATTCGTCGGGGAGAAAAAAAAATGTTTCTGTATTTTCTACATATTAGTAGACCCAAAATGAATTAAATACGCCGTTAAAACACCTAAATTGTCATATTTTTCGTGGGCTTGGCCCCAATAGATTATTTTCGAGAGATTTTGAGTGACGACCGACAACGCCCACTTTATTCGTCGGGGAAATCGGACCCCCTGTCTGGCAAAACCTGGCGCCACCACTGAAGTAGGATGAAATTAAATTTGAAAAGCAAACGTAGTCCTCATCGGGATCGAACGCAAGACCCTTCCAATTACCATTCGAGGCCAAAACTATTTTCTCAACGTACTGTGTACAGACCCATACAAAACGTTCTACCAGCTTAGGCAGGCCCCAGACTAGCCCCACGACTACTAATGATTACAGAGCCAAACCAGGAAATGTATATACACAGCCCAGAGGTGAATGCAAATAGCAGAACATAAGCTATGCGGCTCGGTTCCAATAGATGCAGAGAATAATTTGTCACTCTTAACTCAAGTTAAGAGTGAAAGAAAAAAAAAAATATATACTATCGCAAGTATTACAAGCAGAGTGCTCAATGGTAGACCAGAGCGGATATAAATAAATAAAAAGCGAGGTTCAACAGTAGCTTTGATCAGACATTTCAGTACTACTTAGTTTCGTACCACACACATGGTATGACACTCTTCAGATAAAATTGCCTAATGACTAAGAAGCATAGAAATAAAATAGATTGAGATAAGCTGAGCATGATGAATTAATCTTTCCCATGAAATGTTGCAACTTAACTTATGTTTATCAATTTAATCTCTTTCAATGTTTATCAAACCTTAATCAGACCCAACTAATTGATATTTTTGAATTACCGCTCTGCCTTCCTGCACATGGTCTACCATTGAGCACTCTGCTGGTAATACGTTCCATAGTTTATTTCCATTTTACATATTTTACATATATATATATAAATATATATATAAACGTTATATTTCTGGCTGTTTACTTATGTTTACTTTTTAGCTGTTGCTTATCATTTTTGTATCTCTACTGAGATCCAGCCATTTTTTCCCACAGCATTGTTGTTTTTCAGTATTTTGCCTTTTAATCTATATATAATAGAAAGGTTTATGGAAAGGTGGATTTACAGCTGTTTCATGCAGTAGCAATCTTCAGGAGTGAGTGGATAGGAAGATAATGGAGGTATATATAGCCTAGTTCAGACTAGGTGGATAAACCCGGCTCAACTCACCGGGTTTATCCACCTGCCAGTCTGAACTAGCTGGCTTATCTTAAGCCGGGCTGTGTTCCTATGGTGACTAGGCCTGGCATGCAACCGTGTTTAACTTTTCCAAGCCAGGCTTTAATCGTTGCAGGGGGTCTTGCATTGACTTCGGGTAACAAAATAACCAATCAGCATTAAATTACTTACGCTGTGAGCGAGCGTACGTTTCGCGAGCAATGTTTTGAAACACGTTTGCTGGTTACGGTTCATTATAATGAAAATTCTCGCGCCTGGCTAATCCCGCTAGTCTGAACGCCTGCCAAAGTTAAGCCGGGTTTAGCGTTGAGCCGGGCTTAACTCAAGCCTGGCTTATCTCAAAGTCTGAACGTAGCCTATGAGGTTCAGAAGGTGCATATGCTAATTGTGTTACGTATTCTTGAGTAGGAATTTGTTTCTGCATTTTGAAAGCAGCTCTATTCTTTTGTTTAAAGTTGATGGTTTGTTTGAATAATGTGAAATTTTTCTGTAAGGCAGAGATTGCAACGTTTTGTTTGTGTACTGTATGGCGTAGCTTTGTCAATTATGAACCATTTAATGTTGAATTTTTGTTCGCAATAAATTTTTATTCAATCAATTTCCTTTATCATATATTGTTTTTACAATTCTCAATTCAAAGATTGATAGAAAAGGCATCAATTACAAGCAAGCTTTAAGTTTTGATGCCCTACAAAGAAAGAACAATAATAACAACAAAATAAAAATAAGATAATAATAAGACGATTCATTTATAAATCAAGATTCTTTAAAAAAAAAAAAAGCGTAATAATAATATGACAAATACAATGGAAAGAAAAGTAAAATTTCGACCAAGTAAAGGAAAGATTACAAGTTTTATCAATATTTGTTAAGTAGTCAATTATGTATTTCTCTTTTAAATAAACTAATACTTTGTAGATTTTTTATATTGTGTTCTAAGCCATTCCATATTTTGGCGCCTCTATTATAGCTGATACTGTTTTGTCCCATTTTTGTTTTCACTAATACAGTGGTAAAGTTTTTTCTATTTCTGGTTCCATAGTTATGTGTATCTTCAATTGTGTGAAAAATGTATTAAAGGTAATAGGAAGCTGTTTATTATGAAATTGAAAGAGTAATATTGCCATATGCTTTTCATAGAGATCAAATATATTTAATGTATTAGTTTGTAAAAATAGTGGTAATGTAGGATGATGAAAATGAACTTTGCATATAATTTGAAGTGCTTTCTTTTGGAGAATGTGAAGCCTGTTTAATTTTGTTGGATTGAAGGGGCCCCATACGACTATTGCGTATGTTAAGTCGGGGAGAATTGGGTGTTGCTTTCTTTAAGTTTCCATAGATGTTTTGATAATTCGGTGCTGTTCTTATGCTTCGGAGAGGTAGTGTGCTTATGGTTTGTAAATCTGGTTTGAAATGTGTTGTCTGTGAGTCAGATGTACTCTTTGACGTCATCATTTGTGGTTACGGTGGCTTTGTAGATAATTGAAGATGCGAGGCAGTTTCCTGAGAGGAGGGCATTCATCTTTGCAATTAGCAAATACACCCGATGAACCTCAGATATACCTCCATTATCTTCCTATTCACTCACTCCTGAAGATTGCTATTGCATGAAACAGCTTTAGAGTAAATTCACGCTTGACATAACATTTCTATTATTATTATTATTATTGCCGTTGAATATATCGATTTGTGATATGATCATTATTTATATTCATTTTCTAGGAGAGGGAGAGTAATTTCACTCTCGGTACAGACGAATTTGTGAGACCATACATGGCCGATGGAATAAAATGTATTTCCATTTATTTGATTTCAAAGTGTTGGCCTTGTTATATGGTATTAAATCACGCCTAAATAGATCCCAGTAATTTGATTGTTTAATTTTGTACCACGTGACATTACTTATTTCGCCAATTTTATCGCTCATCGTTGAAATTTTATTCCACCTTGCCGTTTTTTAAATCTGAATCGTCCATTGCACGTTGCCTATGGATACGAAATGACTTCAATCTAATGCAATTCTTTGATTGGTTAAAAAGACTTTTTTTCTGAACTTGTCTTAGCGGTATACAATGTATTGAATATTTTGTTTACTGTAACAGCTGTAAAGTATTTTAAATGTGTGGATGATACCTCAAAACTAGCTCAAATTTGCACAAAATTTGTGGTGTGGAATTCAGCTGTTATTTTCTGAAATGTGCAGACAGATTTCTAGCCTAGTCCTAGGCCTAGGTTTTCCGGGGGAGGATAGGCCTAGGCTGAACCGATCTATTTAGGTGTGTTAATAAAACAAATAATGTTTGTTTATGGATGCAATGGAAAGAATATTATCATGACTTTTCCATTAAAATAGGCTCCGCCTCGTTAAATGAAACAGTCAGTATATGAATTCATGAAAATATTCTTCCCGTTGCATCATTATCTGTACAATATTTACTGTATATGATTATATATTATAACTGTAGCCTCTAGAAGGTCGTAGTAGCACATTTTCTCGACAACGAACTTCAAGACATAAAAAATAAATTTATAGAAATAATGTATTCTTGTAAAACAACTTTTTGATATTTTTTATTAAGCTGATGTAACGACTACCATAGTAAATACCAAAGAGCACTTTACCATAGAATACGAAGAAACAACTTCAAGTGATTCATCAACTAACTATAATACTGAGGAAGTGTCGAACAAAGCAAACACTTCTCCCTCGACAACTAATAAAATAAGTGTACCAGAAACAACATTTTCAAAAAATGGTGATCAATATACAACTAAATTGACGTCAAAGAATGAAAATTCAACAACATTAGAAACAACAGATAAAGCATACTTTACAACAGAACATAACTCATTAGATACAACAAATAATGATGTGACAAGTGCAACTGGACTTACTTCATTGGTTGATGAAAAAACGATAACTTCAACAACAGTAGATGTTTCGACAACAGAAGAAATAACAAGTGAAGTTGAGCTAGCAACACTACTTGATATAACAACAATACCATCGACAGCGGTTGGTGATTTGACAACAGTAGAGGAGGTAACCTCAATAGATATCACAGCTGATGAAGTAACAACTGAAGCTGAGCGATCTACAATTATTGATGCAACAACCATTCCGTCGACAATAGTAGATGATTTGACAACATTAGGGGAGGTAACATCCATTGCTATCACAACCAATGAAATAACAAGTGACACTGACATAAGTAAACTATTTGATTTAACGACGATACCGTCGACAACAGTAGATGATTCTACAACAGTAGACCATTTAACATCAATAGCTATCACAACCGATGAAGTAACAAGTGAAGTTGGTGCAACAATTATACCGTCGACAACAGTATATGATTTGACAACATTAGAGGAGCTAACATCGATAGATATCACAACTAATGAGTTAACGAGTGAAGTTGAGCTAACAACATTAATTGATATAACAACAATACCATCGACAGCGGTTGGTGATTTGACAACATTAGAGGAGGTAACCTCAATATATATCACAGCTGATGAAGTAACAAGTGAAGCTGAACGAACTACATTTGTTGATTCAACAACCATACCGTCGACAACAGTAGATGATTTTACAACATTAAAGAGGGTAACATCCATTACTATCACAACCAATGAAATAACAAGTGACACTAATCAAACCATACCATTTGATTTAACAACGATACCGTCGACAACAGTAGATGATTCTACAACAGTAGACGATTTAACATCAATAGCTATCACAACCGATGAAGTAACAAGTAAGGATGAGGAAACTACATTTCTTGATGCAACAACAATACCATCGACTACGGTTGGTGATTTGACAACAGTAGAGGAGGTAACCTCAATAGATATCACAGCTAATGAAGTAACAAGTGAAGCTGAGCGAACTACATTTGTTGATGCAACAACCATACTGTCGACAAAAGTAGATGATTTGACAAAATTAGAGGAGGTAACATCCATTGCTATCACAACCGCTGAAGTAACGAGTGATGCTGATCAAACTACCTTGCTTGATGCATCAACGATACCATCGACAACAGTAGATGATATGACAACGATAGATGAGCTAACATCAATAGATATCACAACTAATGAGTTAACGAGTGAAGTTAAGTTAACAACACTAATTGATATAACAACAATACCATCGACAACAGTTGGGGATTTGAAAACACTAGAGGAGGTAACCTCAATAGATATCACAACTGATGAAGTAACAAGTGAATTTGAGCAAACTACATTTGTTCATGCAACAACCATACCGTCGACAACAGTAAATGATTTGACAACATTAGAGGAGGTAACATCCATTGCTATCACAACCGCTGAAGTAACGAGTGATGCTGATCAAACTACCTTGCTTGATGCATCAACGATACCAACGACAACAGTAGATGATTTGACAACAGTAGAGGAGCTAACATCAATAGATATCACAACTAATGATTTAACGAGTGATGTTGAGCTAACAACACTAATTGATATAACAACAATACCATCGACAACAGTTGGTGATTTTACAACACTAGAGGAGGTAACGTCAATAGATATCACAACTGATGAAGTAACAAGTGAATCTGAGCGAAATACATTTGTTGATGCAACAACCGTACCGTCAACAACGGTAGATGATTTGACAACATTAGAGAAGATAACATCCATTGCTATCACAACCGCTGAAGTAACGAGTGATGCTGATCAAACTACCTTTCTTGATGCATCAACGATACCATCGACGACAGTAGATGATTTGACAACGGTAGAAGAGCTAACATCAATAGATATCACAATTAATGAGTTAACGAGTGAATTTGAGCTAACAACACTAATTGATATAACAACAATACAATCAACAACAGTTGGTGATTTGACAACAGCAGAGGAGGTAACGTCAATAGATATCACAGCTGATGAAGTAACTAGTGAATCTGAGCGAACTACATTTGTTCATGCAACAACCATATCGTCGACAACAGTAGATGATTTGACAACATTAGAGGAGGTAACATCCATTGCTATCACAACCGCTGAAGTAACGAGTGATGCCGATCAAACTACCTTGCTTGATGCATCAACGACACCGTCGACAACAGTAGATGATATGACAACGGTAGCTGAGCTAACATCAATAGATATCACAACTAATGAATTAACGAGTGATGTTGAGTTAACTACACTAATTGATATAACAACAATACCATCGACAGCGGTTGGTGAGTTGACAACAGTAGAGGAGGTAACCTCAATAGATATCACAGCTGATGAAGTGACAAGCGATGTTGAGCGAACTACATTTGTTGATACAACAACCATACCGTCGACAATAGTAGCTGATTTGACAACATTAGAGGAGGTAACATCCATTGCTATCACAACCGCCGAAGTAACGAGTGATGCTGATCAAACTACCTTGCTTGATGCATCAACGATACAGTCGACAACCGTAGATGATATGACAACGGCAGATGAGCTAACATCAATAGATATCACAACTAATGAGTTAACGAGTGAAGTTGAGTTAACAACACTAATTGATATAACAACAATACCATCTACAAGAGTTGGTGATTTAACAACAGCAGAGGAGGTAACCGCAATAGATATCACAACTGATGAAGTAACAAGTGAATCTGAGCGAACTACATTTGTTCATGCAACAACCATACCGTCGACAACGTTAGATGATTTGACAACATTAGAGGAGATAACATCCATTGCTATCACAACCGTTGAAGTAACGAGTGACGCTGATCAAACTACCTTGCTTGATGCATCAACGATACCATCGACGACAGTAGATGATTTGACAACGGTAGATGAGCTAACATCAATAGATATCACAACTAATTATTTAACTAGTGAAGTTGAGCTAACAACACTAATTGATAAAACAACAATACCATCGACAACAGTTGGTGATTTCACAACAGCAGAGGAGCTAACGTCAATAGATATCACAGCTGATGAAGTAACAAGTGAATCTGAGCGAACTATACTTGTTGATGCAACAACCATACCGTCGACAACAGTAGATGATTTGACAACATTAGAGGAGGTAACATCCATTGCTATCACAACCGCTGAAGTAACGAGTGATGCTCATCAAACTACCTTTCTTGATGAATCAACGATACCATCGACGACTGTAGATGATTTGACAACGGTAGAGGAGCTAACATCAATAGATATCACAACTAATGAGTTAACGAGTGAAGTTGAGCTAACAACACTAATTGATATAACAACAATACCATCGACAACAGTTGGTGATTTGACAACAGCAGAGGAGCTAACGTCAATAGATATCACAGCTGATGAAGTAACAAGTGAATCTGAGCGATCTACATTTGTTCATGCAACAACCATACCGTCGACAACAGTAGATGATTTGACAACATTAGAGGAGGTAACATCCATTGCTATCACAACCGCTGAAGTAACGAGTGATGCTCATCAAACTACCTTTCTTGATGAATCAACGATACCATCGACGACTGTAGATGATTTGACAAAGGTAGAGGAGCTAACATCAATAGATATCACAACTAATGAGTTAACGAGTGAATTTGAGCTAACAACACTAATTGATATAACAACAATACCATCGACAACAGTTGGTGATTTGACAACAGCAAAGGAGGTAACGTCAATAGATATCACAGCTGATGAAGTAACAAGTGAATCTGAGCGAACTACATTTGTTCATGCAACAACCATACCGTCGACAACAGTAGATGATTTGACAACATTAGAGGAGGTAACATCCATTGCTATCACAACCGCTGAAGTAACGAGTGATGCTGATCAAACTACCTTGCTTGATCCATCAACGATACTGTCGACAACAGTAGATGATATGACAACGGTAGATGAGCTAACATCAATAGATATCACAACTAATGAGTTAACGAGTGAAGTTGAGTTAACAACACTAATTGATATAACAAAAATACCATCTACAAGAGTTAGTGATTTAACAACAGCAGAGGAGGTAACCTCAAGAGATATCACAACTGATGAAGTAACAAGTGAATCTGAGGGAACTACATTTGTTGATGCAACAACCATACCGTCGACAACGTTAGATGATTTGACAACATTAGAGGAGGTAACATCCATTGCTATCACAACCGCTGAAGTAACGAGTGATGCTGATCAAACTACCTTGCTTGATGCATCAACGATACCATCGACGACAGTAGATGATACGACAACGGTAGAGGAGCTAACATCAATAGATATCACAACTAATGAGTTAACGAGTGAATTTGAGCTAACAACACTAATTGATATAACAACAATACCATCGACAACAGTTGGTGATTTGACAACAGCAGAGGAGCTAACGTCAATAGATATCACAGCTGATGAAGTAACAAGTGAATCTGAGCGAAAAACATTTGTTCATGCAACAACCATACCGTCGACAACAGTAGATGATTTGACAACATTAGAGGAGGTAACATCCATTGCTATTACAACCGTTGAAGTAACGAGTGACGCTGATCAAACTACCTTGCTTGATGCATCAACGATACCATCGACGACAGTAGATGATTTGACAACGGTAGAGGAGCTAACATCAATCGATATCACAACTAATGATTTAACGAGTGAAGTTGAGCTAACAACACTAATTGATATAACAACAATACCATCGACAACAGTTGGTGATTTCACAACAGCCGAGGAGCTAACGTCAATAGATATCACAGCTGATGAAGTAACAAGTGAATCTGAGCGAACGACATTTGTTGATGCAACAACCATACCGTCGACAATAGTATATGATTTGACAACATTAGACGAGATAACATCCATTGCTATCACAACCGCAAAAGTAACGAGTGATGCTGATCAAACTACCTTGCTTGATGGATCAACGATACCATCGACGACAGTAGATGATTTGACAACGGTAGAGGAGCTAACATCAATAGATATCACAACTAATGATTTAACGAGTGAAGTTGAGCTAACAACACTAATTGATATAACAACAATACCATCGACAACAGTTGGTGATTTCACAACAGCAGAAGAGCTAACCTCAATAGATATCACAACTGATGAAGTAACAAGTGAATCTGAGCGAACTATATTTGTTGATGCAACAACCATACCGTCGACAACGTTAGATGATCTGACAACATTAGAGGAGATAACATCCATTGCTGTCACAACCGTTAAAGTAACGAGTGATGCTGATCAAACTACCTTTCTTGATGCATCAACGATACCATCGACGACAATAGATGATTTGACAACGGTAGATGAGCTAACATCAATAGATATCACAACTAATGAGTTAACGAGTGAAGTTGAGTTAACAACACTAATTGATATAACAACAATACCATCGACAGCCGTTGGTGAGTTGACAACAGCAGAGAAGCTAACGTCAATAGATATCACAGCTGATGAAGTAACAAGTGAATCTGAGCGAACGACATTTGTTGATGCAACAACCATACCGTCGACAACAGTAGATGATTTGACAACATTAAAA